AGAAACGATAATCGACAGTCATGATTCTTTGAAATATATGCAACAAATTACATGTACAATCTAAGGGGTTAGGCTCTATGATTTAGGTAACTAAGACCTAGGGTTCACTCGTCAAGGGTTAGGGTATAGTATCATACCCAAAAATCCTGTTAAGGAGGCCACTCAATCCTATATCAAATTGCAGCAAGTTGAGGAGGCTTTCTTCATACAGAAATCTCTATTTGTTGGTTGGCTTTAGGGGATCAGAAATCCTCTTTTTCATAAATTTGCTCGCATCGTAAATTCCAGGAAATAAATAAGAAAGCTTATTTCTAAGGATGGGAAGGTATTGACAAAAGTGGAAGCTATGTTGATGAAGCTGTATCTTTCTATAAGGATCTATTTGGTAAAATCAATACATATGTTAGTGTTGACAGTCAACTCATTTCAAGCTTTTCTATCTAGTAAGTTGATTTCAACTGAACAATGTAAGCTTTATGAATCTGTTTCTGCCCAAGAAATTAAGCAGCCTTTGTTTGATATAATGATATGGATGCTTCTAAAGCAACTAGTCCGAATTGATGGACTGCTGGTTTTTATCAGAAAGGTTGGATATTGTTGGACCTGATATTGTTCTTGTGGTTCAACAGCTTTTCAGAAGTAAATCTCTTCCTCGGGGTATGAATTCTGATTCTCTTACTCTTGTGCCAAAGATCCCAAATCCTGACAGACTAGGGTCATTTCGTCCTATGGCTTGTATTAATGTCATTATTTCTAAAGTGATTTCTAATCGGCTTAAGTTTTTTTCCCCTCGATCGTTAGTAGGAATCAATCTGCTTTTATCCAAGTTCGTAGTATTCTTGAAAACATTATTATAGCTCAAGAGCTTGTTCAAAATTACAATCGTAAGAACATTACATCTAAAAATGCTGTGAAAGTGGACTTGATAAAGTCTTTTGATTCTGATTATAGGGGGTATTTACTATTTGTGATGGAGAATATGGGATTTCCCAGGATGTTTGTATAATAGATTATGGTTTGCTTAAACTCGGCTTTTTTTAGTATTTCCCTTCATGGACATTTGTTTGGATTCTTTAAAGTAGCCAAATGGTTAGACAATGTGACCCTATCTCTCCCTATCTTTTCAATAGAACCCCTTACTGGTATTCACAGAAGAAGAAGATGAGATACTTGCATGGTCTGCGCCTAGGATTGAAAGAAAAGATCCACAGGGTTGATGAAGTGTCATATTTTCCTGCTTAAGGTTGGCGAATTCATTGTTCTTTGCCCTGATAAAAGCTTTGGGAAGAAACTCTGTCTTAAAGGCCTTCGGGAATTCCTCCCAGGTGAACTGAACTCGTTCACCATTAACTCTAGAGAGTGAGGGCCACCAGCTCCTCGCGTACCCCTTTAGGAGAAAAACACCATATTGTACTTTTTCCTCTGGGGTCGCATAAAGATACCCAAACACATCTTCCATCTCTCTCAACCACTCTACTACAGCATCTGGACTCACATCTCCCTTAAAGTCCCTACCACCCAAACTCTTCATCTTTGCATAATCTAATACTGGCGGTCTTGCATCAACCGCCCTTACTCCTCTCGACTGGTTAGTAGGAACATTTTCACAACTTCCGTGCGAACTACAAGGAAATATTGGCATTAGATTGATCCACACAAAATTCATTCTTCACCCACTCCTCACTTAGTTAAAACAAAATTTTCCCAAAATAATTACTTGAAAACATAGTTCAAAACTAAATTTTGAAAACCATGATGCAGATAATTTCATCCAACATACCAATACACATAATCATGTCAAACTCAATTCCCAGTTTAAGTCATTATGGGATACTCCCCTCCTTAGGAGTGTTTAACCTCCCATTGGGTATAGTACGCCATAACAGCAAAAAGAGGGAACCAGGCTCTGATACCAAACTTTAACACACTACCCTATACGTTTTGCCTAATCATATTATTCATAAAATTGCAGCAGAATTAATCTCGGGTGTTACATTAATTATCAAAATTTACCCAATAAAATTTCGACATGAATTACTCGCGTAATGGGCTAACAGTTCTTGCAACTTATCCTGCAAAATAATTCATCACAAACATATATACTCACAACCATATGCATTGGCTTTTCTTAGCCATAGTCACACTTTTCATAGTCCACAACTACATACCATACTTATACATACCATAACTGTCACAACTTACACAGTTACACAACATATACACATATCATCAACTTTACACACCTGTGGATACCTCACACTACATCGGAAGCTAGTATGCACATGAAAAACGTTCTCAAAACATTTTTACAAAAAGGTGTGGATCACTTGCCAAAATCCCGAGTAGTCATCCAAGCACAGAATAGTTGGAGACCATACCTCATCCTGGCTTCAACTCTAGCTCCTCTCCCACCTAACACTTATCTACTGTTGATGCTGATGATCTGCTTACACATAGCATAAGTAGAGAAGAAGAATAAAAGGGGGTCAACTCATAGCTGAGTGAGATAATCATAGCATCGTGAGTTCATAGCAGAGCATACCCCTAGCACACATCTAACGATCAAGCCAAAACACTAGGATCGGAACTCAGCCATCCTCATATCCCAATAGGCAAAAGACTCAACCATCTTGACTTATGCATATGCATCTTATCATTTTTACTTATAGGCGCCTGGCTACTCCCATGCTAATTTCTCTCCCGGGAATACGGACCAAATATCTCGTGGAAGTGGTCATATCGGACCCACCACTGCCGGTGTAGTCATATCGGATCTGACACCACTCTGGGTGTGGTCATATCGGACTCAACACCACTCTGGGTGTGGTCATATCTCATGATGAATCAACGGTCAACACCACATCAGGGGTGTGACATAACATATCATAACGGAGTAATAGCATGGAGAGCCCTAGTTACTATGTAATTGACCATGAGACCAAATCACTCTTATTTGGTAATCTTACACATGATCCATATCTCATCTTTCTTAATCATAATTCGTTACTTGCACATGTACTTGACCTGGCCAATTGGCTCAACATAGGTAAATTAGGAGTCGTATAATTGCACTTCCTTGGGATAAACCCTCGTGCAAGTCATCCTCCTTAAACGTCATAATATCACCAGGGAATATATATTTTCCCACATGTGCATCCAAATACAACAATCATGAAAAATCATACTCAATCACCTTTTCGAACCATCATAAGGCATATCAACAGTCAAGGCCACAATTTGCAACATATACGAAATCATCAGTATAAACAAGGTCCATCTCGATTAGGGCAAGTCAATAATATCATACAGTAGTCCATGGTTCATCATATAGCACAAAAGTTCATACACCCTTAAATCATGCCATTCTAGTTCACCTAGGTCAATTCTAAGCATCAATATAATTATCGTGATACGACAAACCCGGTAAGTGCTAATCCCTCACCAGTTCTGGTCGTTCAAACACCGGTTTAACCTGCCTGTACTAAAACGTCAATTTCACGAACGAACCCCGAATTAAAATCCGAGACCGTCCTAATATCCCCTGCAGTATCCCCGTAAATATTAGTTCTAGGCTCCGGGTCAAATTCTTGATAAAAACACATCAAACCCTGGCCGGAGCTAAATTCAGCGATTCCGGCTCCGACCTAAATAATAGCCGAAATTCATGGATTAAAACTAGAGGATTGATTACCTCGCTGCAGGAAGCTCGTATATGAAATTTGGGCTCAATCCGGCTTCCGGATACTCCGAAACCCTAATTTGGCTTATCGGGAATTCAAGAAATTCCTGTACCAAAAACTCGTTTTAAAGCTCTAAATTGATAAATTACAATGTATGGATGAATTAGGCATTACTTACGGGATTTTTTGATCACTGTAGCTCAAGAATCTAGCTATGAAAATTTTCCTCGAGCTCCCCTGTGCGCGGCTCTGGTCGCTCTGGTTTTTTTGCTTCTCTTTGTGGAAAAGAGACGATGATGATGGGAATGAATAAATGGCAGGGAGATTATATATATGCGGGCCCGCGCGAGCTATGTTCTGCAGCGAGACGATGATGATGGTTTTTTTTCTTTCTCTCTCTAAGTCGTTAGCGCCTCTCGCGGGTCTCTCCCGTTGGCGAGCTTCCTGCCGCCGCGCGAGCTGTTTTCTGCCGGCAGTGTTTCACCGTTCTTGCTCTTCCTTCTTCCTACTGATCTTTTCTTGACTCCGGGATGGCTTCCCTTTGTTAAATCCTGGACTGATATGTTCGGCATTGCTGAGGTGAATCGATTGGTATTCATCGAACCGGAGATCGTGGATGGGGGGTTGCGCATACCGGAGGAACTCATTCAGGAAGGCGAAGCAATGTGGAAGCACAGCCTTGTAGGGAAATTCATGCACTCCTCCCCTTTTGTGAAGCAGCTTCAGAGTTGGGCGAATCGTCTATGGGGGAAATCGGGATTGGTTAGGGTTTCACGTTTGAGCGAGCAGTTGACGGTTTTCCAATTTCCAAGTTCTGAGGTAGCTGATTGGGTCTTCACTAGTGGGCCATGGCATTTTAACGAAGACATGTGCTTCCTTCACAAATGGTCACCAGGTATTCGAGCAATTGATTGTAGCTCTACCATTCCTATTTGGATCTGTTTTCAAGATATTCCAGTCGAGTACGCTACTGGTAGGATCTTGACGCGAATGGCTAGCATGCTTGGTAAACCGCTCTGGTTCGATCAATCCACAAGGTTAGGCAGGAGAATGGGATTTCCTAAAGTCTCCGTGGAAATGTCCATCGATTCCTCCTTCCCAGATTCTATTAAGTTGGTACCTGATCGAAAACTGGCGTTTTCAGTGGTTCTTGAGTACTGCAACCGTCCTCTTGGATGTTAGAAGTGCAGAATGTTTGGTCATCAGTGTGCTGATTCACAGGCAGAAGAGGCAAATGGTTCTCTGGGTTCTGATTTGGTTCAGAGTGCTGCTCCAGTGGCTGAGGGGGCTGGAGAAGTAAGTGAAGGAAGTGCATGACAGATGATCTTGGACACTATCCTTGCCTCTAAAGGAACAGCCCAAGCATCTGCTGAGTCTGCTTGTCGTAATCTGAATATTGCTGTTGCAGATTTGGTAAAGTCTATTGAGCAAGGAGTTCTCTTAGAGTGGAATAATGCTGAGCCTGTGTTGTCATTGGACAAGGAGTACCATTCTGCGATAGAGAGGCAGCCTGATTCAAGGGTCATTACACCTGTGGCAAATCGGTTTCAAAGCTTACCTGCTGAAAACTCTGTAGCAGATAATGTTGTTATGGGCAGTCCAGTTCTTAGCAACCTGGAGGACTTTCCTGTGTTGGAGGCGGTGGTATTGGGTAAAGGTAAGCAGGGTAAGAAGGACCCAGGGCGCCCTGCAAAACCCAAGAACAAGAAATGATAGTGCTTGCTTGGAACATGAGGGGATTTAATCATCCCACCAAGCAGCAACAGATCTTAGAAGTGGTAGCTCAGTATAATGTAGATGTGTTTGGAGTAATTGAAACAAGGGTGAAGGAAGAAAATTCAAAAAAGATTGCTAGTTCTACATTTGGAAGGTGGGAGTTTGCTCATAACTACGAGCATTCAGATTTAGGACGCTTATGGGTGTTCTGGAAGAAAGACTTGGATTTTGTTGTGTTGGAGAGATTTGATCAATTTGTTCATGGTGAAGTTAGAGGTGAGGTTTCAGCAAAGGTAACCTTTGTCTATGGTTCAAATGACGAAGGAAATAGAACCAAAATGTATCACTGTAAAATCCCAACCAAACTAAACAAAATAGAATAAATTTGAAAGGGGAAAATAAAATTCCTCTACAGATTTTCTACCGAGACTTCATATCGTGAAGTTTACGTCGTTGACGAGAGTAGATGCAACAATGATAATTGGTTGTTAGATATGAGTGTGCATTTGAAAAACATATAAGGAAAATTAAAAAAAATTAATAGCAAGAATTGAACCACCAACCTATTGCATAAAACCATAGCTGAGACAAGCATTTTAGCCGCTAGACAACAAACAAATACCTGTGCAATTATTAATCTAATTATGGTTAAGAACGTTATTTGCGTCTCTGGTCTGTGCAACCAGTCAGCCTTGACTTTGACGTCGTCGTTTCAATTGAAGAGCCAGCACCCTTGACAAATCGTCGAACACTTCCAGGACGTGGTGAGCTACAGATATATACTGGCAAGCGGCGGCCGGCTTTGGGAGGCGGGAGGCACTCTCTTCAAAACCTGCAAGCTAGAATGCGGCCTTTAGGGCTTTAATTTTGCTGCTGAGCAATTTAATGGAAGGGAGAGAGAGACTCCCTGTCATTATCACACAATTGAGCGGTTTATGTGTTTATATGACTAAACCAATCATTGAATCACATGTCTATCAACATTGTAACACATTTGGAGTGCAAATCCACCTTATAGTACAATTTGGACACGGTACTAAGAGTTCGTACTCATGCACGTCTTGTCATTATCACACAATTGAGCGGTTTATGTGTTTATATGACTAAACCAATCATTGAATCACATGTCTATCAACATTGTAAGACATTTGGAATGTTGTCTAGCTACCTGGAACATAAGATGATAGAAGAAGCATTCTTCTTCCTCCTTGACTCGGCAAGCGTTGCACTGAGAGAGAGAGATGAGGGAGGTAGAGGGAAAGGAAGATGGAATAACATTTTGTAAATTGGTTGAAGATAATAGGACCCCTAGAAATCGATCTGTGGGGTCAGAAACTAGTTTCGACGCTTGTAGGAGGTTCGTCGGAGGACCGTAGTAAATCCCGACGTCGGCGTCGGCCTCGTCAACTGCAACGATAATTCCGAAGCTTTGTACAGATGTGTAGAGCTCGTGTCCAGGAGCACCACGGAGTCGACGGAATTGAATTTCGAGTTCAAACGAGGGAGAAACGAGGTTCGAAAGTTTGTTCATAAAATTGTACGATTTACAAATTCTGGAACTGTTTCTGATAGTTCGAAAATATAGAGTACTATTCGGTATATTTCCATTCTACTAGTAATCGGCTCGCAGTTTCTTCGTTTGGCGTCCAAACGACGAACCGTTTACGCCTACAAGATCGTGGGAAGGAGGAGGATATTAGGAGCAAATCTCTGGAATTTCAGAACTTAATTCCTGACTAGGAATCGGCTAAATTAAGGTGTGTGGCGATTAAGAGGACCTTAATTATTGCATCGATTTTTTATGCTTGATTTGCATATTTGGATGGCTGGATTGGTGTGGTTGATGACTTGGTTGCTGATATAATTATTTGGTGATTAATCTTTAATGTTGCGGATTTTACGGTGTACATATCGGTATTTGACAAGTTTCACCGTAAAAATGAATAGTTGGGTTTATTGAGTTTAAAACTGATCTAAGAGATTTTTGTTTGTCTAAAATGATGCTGGGGAAGATTGAGCAGAAGATTCCACTTGAAAATGGTTTTCGGATTAAAAACTGCATAACGATGAATTTTACGGAAAGCTCGGTAAAAACGTGTTTTAATTATCTTTAAGATTTTGATCACTTTAAAATGGTCAGTACGGATTGTTAAATGATTTTTGGTCTGGAAATGGTAAATTAGACAGTGGGTGGAGTTTTTATCTTTAAAATGGTAAAAACGAGCTTAATACGAGATTTGCGGTAAAGACCGAGTTTAATATTATTTTCATGGTTTTGAGCTATTGAAAAATATAAAAACTGATCAGACCTGTTTTAGGATGGTAAATGGAGGTTCTTGTATTTTTGGGAGATTTTCGGATTTACAGTTTTGTGGGAATTTAAGTTACCGTAAAATAATGGTTAATACAAGATTTTTGATATTTTATTGTCTAAATAGATTTTATGACCAGAACTGGATTAAATGGATTTTTGTGTCAATAAATCCATTTACATGAATTGTGTGAGGATTTTAATGAAGGAAAGTGAAATTTGAGATAAGGATATATTTAACTGGATTAAATGGATTTTTGTGTCAATAAATTCATGCATTGATTATGTGTTCGTGAAATTATGTGATTATCTTATTGGATAAATTGATTTGGTGATGAAGAGTTGGTGGATTCGATAAGTTGATCGATAATTTATATATGATGATTTAAGATGACATCTAGAGTACTAAATTACGATTGATTATGATTGTTTGATTAGCTGATTGCGGTCCCAAAAACTAGGTCATGGGAAAGATCCACACACACAGCTTAGTTGCTGACCCACTTCTGTTCAGTTTCTTACAGGTTCGAATGAATTGAGAGAAACTCTGGCACTGCACAATGATAGATGGAGGATTGGTTTTGAACTTTTCCCAGATTTTGAAATGACTCTCATTTATGTTTTATGAGTCGATGATTTGAGTATTGCATAGTAGATGGTACCGTAATGAACATAGTAGTGAATGACACTCTGATTTGGTTGACATGAAATGAATGAACTAGATCGAGTTGATATTTGGTATATGATGAGTAATTTGTGAATTGATTGTTGTGATTTTGGATCAAAATAATGTAGGTATGTATATTACTAGTGGTAAATAGTCAAGTTTTTGCGTAACCCCCAATAGAGATTCCGCTGTGCGGCTGAATCATTGGTTCAACCCATGAGTTTTAGGGTGGGGTGTTACAGGTGGTATCAGAGCTGGTTTGTTTTCTGCATTATGGGTATGTTACTTTCGCTCTTGAGGATTGATCACCCTCAAAAGGGTAGGGAGTACTCCATATCTATACTTGCACTAGACTTTCCAGAAATTGAGACCAAAGATGATGACGTGTTGCATAGTCAAAGTAAGAGTCAGTTTCATTTGGTCCAAAAGATTTCAGTTGTTTTGAATGAATTTTGGAGAAAGGGATGATTTGAAATAGGTTTTGGAAATGAGCTACGGGAACTCATTTTGGGTCAAAAAGTGAAGCATTTTCCTCCTGAAATCCATCGATCAGTGCAAAGGTGCCTCCTCTCGTTTGGCGAGATGGAACTTCTTGGATAAAGGAAGTAAGAGTTACAAGAGTTGAGCGAAACATCTGCAAATCCTAATGGGATTGCGATGGAATGATGGAGTCTTGAATTCCATTTTAACACAGCTAGATAAAGTAAGAAACCTATAGTGAATTCGATGTCCTGAGACGGGGAACAAAAGGATGTGGGACAGTGGGAGTAGTGACCGTTAAAGAGAATGTAGGATGCCACAATCGCCACCTTGAGACTTAATTTCTCATATGAGAAATAAGTTTGAGGATAACTAATTAACGTGTGATGAGAATGCCTTGACCTAGTACGGGGTGGAAGGTGGTGAGTGATGATTGACCACTAGAAAGGTAGGATCTTCCTGAAAGGAAGGGCATGAATGATGGATGCATGAAGGCCAAACTTGCTACCTTATAGTGGCCGAAATCAAGGTCACTAGTGGTGAAGATTAACATTGGGAAAATACCTACGGGAACCTTGTGAGAGCAAGGAATCACAGTCATCTTGAGTAGTGAGATACCTAAACCAACGGATAAGTTGGTTGAACAAATGGTACATTAATACGAAGAGTTGCGTAGGAGGGGTATCTTTTAAAGGAGAGCCAAGTGGGAAAGGACGATCATTTTGATATACGAGTAATCATTTTGTGGTCTACCCCAAGGAGTAGAATAAATATTGGGGATTGAATTCCCCGGAGAAAGCCAAAAGAGGGGGAGATTGGAAGTTGAGGAACCATGGATACAAAGAGAAGCAAAAAGATGGTTAGGGTTCGAAATCTGGCATCGGTGGAACTCGAGCCCGCAACGTCCAGGGCGAGGGCAAAGAGCCGTACCACTCCAACCGCGTTCCCTTTTGGTATTTGTATACCCAACTCACTGTGTATTATGGTGACGAGTCAACCTAGAAATCCGATGATATGACTTGTTGAACTGAAGCGAAAATTTTAAATTGTGAGCCAAATGGATACAAACTGATAACACCAAGGTAGGTGTTTGGTCAGAATTCGCGTAGTCAATCAAGGAGTTGAGCTCCTGTTCTCACACCACGCAAACAGAGGTAACCGAACAAACTTGGTAAGGCTGTTTTGGTGATGAATTGAGCGGAAACGAGAGGGAATCCTCACACCAGGGAAGATGCACAATCGCTATAAGGACGCCTTCGATGTGATCGAGTGAGAATTCTCGATCAATAGGCCAAGGTTCAGCAAGCTTTGATCGCAACCAAAACCAAGATAACTCACAACTCAAAACGTTGGAATATTTTTTGGGTTTTCTTCATAAATCAAATTTGTCTGATACAATACGAGTATGAGGCCTTTTATAGGATTAAACAACCACAAACAAACTAGAATAAGGACTGGAAGTAACCTAGCTAAGCAAGGAAACTGAATTGCAAACATAATCCGAATGAAGTTAGGAATCCTTGTGGGATTCGGATCGCT